CATTTAAAGTTCATATAGATGCTTCAGATTTTGCACTTGGTGGAGTCTTTATGCAAGAAGGACATCTGGTAGCATATGAGAGCCGAAAGTTAAACCAAACAGAATGTCATTACTCGGCGCATGAAAATGGAATTGCTGGCAGTAGTCCATTGTCTCAGAGGATGGCCTCACTATTTGCTTGGGTCTCCATTTATAGTGAAGACAGATAACACTGCGGTTAGTCACTTCATGTCCCAACCAAAACTATTGAGCAAGCAGGCTCGTTGGCAGGAATTTCTTTCAGAGTTCAATTTTATGCTAGAATATCGTCCCGAATCTAGTAATCATGTTGCTGATGCTTTTAGTCGACGGGCCAACTTGGCTGTCATTTGCTCCATGGCTGCTCTTTTAGGGAGTGCCATCACCACGAACACAAGAGACCAAATTCGAGTACTTATGGATAAGGACTCGATTAGTCATATTTGGTTGACCTCATCAATCGTGATAAGACTCAACAGTTCTAGCTCGATGGGGAACTAGTGAAGACTATGGGACACCGCCTATATGTTCCTAAGGGCGGAGATTTGAGGAAATCACTAATTACGGAATGCCACGACACGATTTAGGCAGGGCATCCCGGAGAAGAACGCACTTGTGCACTACTGCAACGTGCATACGACTGGCCTCAAATGTAGGATGACATTGCAACCTATGTAAAATCCTGTCTTATTTGTCAGCAAGATAAGGCAGATCATCAGAAAAAAGGCGGGCTTGCTAGAGCCCCTTTCCGTCCCAACCTTTCCGTCCCAACCCGGTCATTCGAAAGTGTATCGATGGACTACATTATTGGGTTGTCAAAAGTTAAGGAATTTGGCACTATCATCATCGTGGTAGACCATCTATCAAAATACGCTACTTTCATTACAGTGCCTAAGTATGTATCCACAGAAAAGACAGCTCAACTATTTTTCAAACATATTGTCAAATACTGGGGACTATCTAAGGACATCGTCAATGATCGAGATCCTCGTTTTACTAGCATATTTTGGAATGAGTTGTTCAAACTTCTTGGTTCAATTTTGAGCATGAGTTCTAGTTTTTACTCACAATCTGATGGACAGACGGAGCGCTTCAATTCTATGCTAGAAGAATATCTCAGCACTTTATATCTACTTCGTAGAAAAATTGGGTAAAACTTTTGGATGCGGCTCAGATTTACTTCAATGCCCAAAAGAGCTCTTCCACTAATAAGAGTCCTTTTGAGATTGTTACTAACCAACAACCACTACTCTCTCATACAGTGGATATCAAACAAGTACCAAGTCTCCTCAAACGAAGAACTTTTCTCAAGAATGGAAACGAAATATTGAAATTGCTCGGAGTTATCTTGAGAAAGCTCAAAAATGGTACAAAAAGTCTGCAGATCTAAAGCGCCGTTTCCTTGAATTTGATGTTAGAGATCTGGTAATGGTTAAGCTTCAGGACAAAAATGTGTACAAACCGACAAGAGGGAAGGACTCAAGATTGGCGCCAAAATATATTGGACCATTACCGATCTTGAAGAGGATTGGAAGAGTCACATACAGAATTGAACTCCCTTCATGGTGTAAAATCCATAAGGTCCTTCATGTTAGTGTGCTGAAGTCATACTTTGCAGATAAGGAGAACGCATCTAGAAATGAGCCAAAGCGACCTGTGTTTGAACTGAAGAAAGCTGGAAAGAGGGTTGCTGAAGCTATTCTTGACCATCGAGTCACTCGAGCTTCTCAGAAAAGATCATCAAGGGTAATTGGTAAAATGGATTGGATGCAACAGTGAAGAGAATACTTGGGAAAGAGAAAAGGACCTTTGAGCCTTCAAACCATTAAGTGGAGCATATCATGCATTGATGGCACCGAGGACGTGGCCAAAACAAATGGGGGAGAATGTCAAGAACCGCAGCTTTACTTAGCCCCTTGACACAATCGCAGCCGTAGTTTGCCCAACTTTGGCCGCACATGTAAATATTAGTTCAAGTTTGAGCTGTAATTTTTTTTCATTGTAATAGTTATTTCAGTTGTAAAATAGTTTTGATATTAGTAAACATTTAGTATGATTCATCGTCATTTAAATGTCTACTCCTGTCGCTTAGATTTTTGTTCAGAATGCTATTATAGGGGGTATTAGTCATTCAAAACTCTCTCAAGCTCACTGGTTCCGCCCCCTACACCAGCAATTGTAATTTTTCTGTTTTCGTCAATTGTAATGTTTAGTTTTCATCAATCAATGTTCAATTTACTTTCAATATATTCAAAATCTCTGTTGTAAGCTTTCTACAAAATTGTAATCAAATTTTCTTTCGTCCCGACGCGACCGAAAAAAGGCGGAAGGTAGTGTAGTAAAGCAGACTACTACCACACGATGTCCCTTTCTATACCAAAAAGAAAGGCACCCCGTGAAAGTGCTTAGGAGCACGACTAGTCGCCCGTTAAGTGGTCAACTGTCAACTTGATTTCACCTGTTAAGCGGTCACTTGACAGTTTAACACTTGATTTTGCGCTTACTACCAAGGGTTACGCTCCACCCGCACCTTGAGCTTAGTTGCATTTTTTAGAATGCTAATCATTTTCCAACAATTATATATATACAATGATATCGTTCATTGAATTCATCATTGCATTATCATGATGATGAATATTCATTTTAAATTAATTTCAGCATTTATTTTGAGTTGAATTTCATATAAGGAGAGTTCACAACATCAATAAATTCATTGGTATATGTAATTTCAATTGTTCTTGTTGCTAGACGTAGTCTTTGTATCTTGAAGACAAGTGCCATAAAATCGTTAGCAAGACCTATTTTACCATTAAGGGTCGAGATTAGAACCGATATGAAAGTTCAGGAATCTTCATCTCTTGAGCGGTAAAGGACAAAATATATCATTAAGGGTCAAGATTAGAACCAATTTGAAAGTTTTTTCTTTATTATCATTTTACTCGGACCTAAATGATAATTGGAGTTGACTATTCACGCACACTGATAGAGCATAGAATGAGTAAAATTCATTTTGTAGCTTTATTTGGGAGTTTTTTGTGAATTAATTGCTCACTTTTTAATGTTAAGTCATTCGAATAGCTATCTAAACAAGCGAATCTTTAATGTTGCATGTGTTAGAATGATGAGTATATGGTTTTGCGCAAGATTAGTTAAATTTAAGTTTGAAAATGTTGATAATTATAGTTTACATGTATATTTAGATTTTTAAATTAGTTTAAAAGTTGAATAATCAAGCGAATTCTACTCAATTTATGTTTTATTTGACTTTTATAGGATAAATCCTTAATTGGAAGGCAAAAAAGGTGATTTGGATCATTAATTGGTCAAAAGGATGTTGCGGATGAAGGAAGGAAAATACTGGAACTCAATTGGATGGACTTGAAAAGTTGATAAATTTTGAGGACTAAAATAGACACTTGGAGAAGTTCGACAAAAAACTGATTTGCGGGGACTACTCATCTTTTGAGTCAAAGTCAGCCACTTTGCAACTTTTAATAGCATTTTCCAGCATCGTGTAGTTGCAAAAAAGTTGATATAATTGTGTTATTCAATCATTATAAAGGTGGATCGAACCAAGTAATATTAACTTGGAATATTCATGATTAGAATTCCAGTCGCGTCACTGTAATCTTCCTTGATCACAGTAGGTTTCCAAACTTTTTTAGATAGAATCTGGTTTTGATTCAAGTGATGATTTCGAAATGAATTGAATTATTTGAAATGATGAAAGTTGCTTTGGATGAAAAAGCCTTTTTTTTTTTTTTTTATAAAGTCAAATTCAAAATTATTAAGAGCCAGCCTTTATTTTTTGTTGTCTCGCACGTTGAAGAATGCATTTGATTGTCAATATTTTTCACAAAAAAATTATTTTTCTATCTAAATTCTCCTTTTTATGTTGTTTGATTGATATTTTTTTCCATGAAAAATATATTCATACTTTTGGTCACATAACCATATTTTTTCTGAAAACAATGACCATATTTTCTTTATGAGAAATATGTTTTTATTTTCTAAATAATTCACTCTATCTCTCTCTCATTTACTAACTCTCTCTTTCATTTACCTACCAATAAAAAATTGACAAATATAATTTTTTCTAAATTGAAAATAAAATCAATCTAACACATTTAATTGACAATTTTCATGCAAATAATTTATGGATAATTCAATTGCCTGAAATTTATTTATTTCAATGTAAATTTTATACTTGCAAATTGCAATCAAATGCATCCAAATTCGATGAGACCACATGAAAGTCTCAAGTAATTTCTTTCATCAACAAAACACATATTCGTTTGGCCTCCATTCTCATTCTCATTTTTTCTCTCTCGTATTTTCAACCACATAATCTTTCATAAAATAATATAATACGCAAATAAAAAAATATTCTTTTTCAACCACACATTTTTCCAAAAAATACTATTCCAACCATTAAAATTTAAATAGAATGGGGGGTCAAACATGGGCTATATAAAGAGCTATTTACACTTAGGATATCTTTTATTGTCAATATTTTCTATGAAGAATGTGTTTTTTCTACACAAATTCCCATTTTTATGTTGTTTGATTGTTTGCTATTTTTTACGTGGAAAATATTTTTCTAGTTTTAATCACATGATCATATTTTCCTCAAAATTAAAGAAAATGTTTTTTTAGGAAGAAGTAGGATCTTATTTTCCAGGAAATTCACTCTCTTTTTCTCTTTCTCATTTATTCACTCTCTCTCATTTGCTCACCAATTAAAAAAAAGGATAATTATAATATTTTCAAGGTTGAAATTAAATCAATCAAATATATTTAATTGACAATTTTCATGCAAATAAGTTCTAGACGATTAAATTACTTAGAACTTATTTTTTTATGTAAATTACATGCTTGCAATCAAACATACCTTTAATGAAAATAAAAATCTACTCCCCTCAAAAAGAAAGGAGAACTGGGCATAGATTAAAAGTTAGAAAATGTTTTTTATGGAAAAAAAATGACAATCAAATACTCTATTAAAGTTTTATTAAAAATCTGTCTTTAAAAGCACAACTAAAGTTCAGAATCAACACAACTCTACATAAAGAGAGCTTCAAAAGTCAAAACAATGCTCCCCTGGAAAAAAAAAAAAAAAAAAGGCGCACCTTACACAAAGAAACGAAAAATATTGAAGTACTTGCTCGGAATCTGATCCATTGCTAGTGAACTTTTTCATTTGTCTATCGAGTTCAGAAACACACTTTGGTTGAACAACAAGAAATTAGTACTTGTTACCTATTTCCTTGAACCTGCAGGCAAAAAGAGAAAAAATGAAGAATGTGAAGAATTTCGGTTGATATCATTTTGTGGAAGATTGTGTAATTGAAAATAGAAAAGAGAAAAATGAAATGTAGTGAGGGCCAAATGGGGGCTAACTATAGATATATTGTCGTCGGTAATTATGTTTTTTTACTCACCTCGAATCCTATCTGCAGTAATTGGTGTTAGTAAGCACAGTGCTAGTTGATCCACACTCACTATCCTTGAGCGACACTGCTGATCTATCAAGCTTGACTGACCAAGGATAATGATAATTCTGAGCGGTCGAACCAATGTGAGACGTTGATCGTTGCATTCGGACCGCCCGGGGGACATTCCTTCCCTCGAGAGACAGTCTGCGCCTGTTGTAGGAACAGTACAAATGAAACTTTGTGTTGAATGATGTTATCGACTTATTTCTTTAATGAGAAACATTACATTTATAGAGCATTTCGAATCATCTGCTTAGAATACTAAAACTGATATCGATACTAATCAAATTCAACTCTAATACCTGCTTGGTTGCCTCTCGAAGGATTCAATAGGGCGTTGCTTGGGCGTACTATGGGAACGCACTTTAAGCCTTGAGGACTCTGTATTGGCCATATAGTTTGGGTAAAATGGGTTCTCATTGTAAAGAGATTCTGCATATTCTGATCGAGGACAAGGAGACGGGTTTCTTGACGTATCGGGTTTGGAGAAGGCCGAGTAACACTGAGGGCTACTCTGCGCTGTATTGAATGAGTATTCATCGAAATGGCCACTACACCCTTTTTGGCTCATATCCGTTATGGTTGAGGGTGCTGGTGAGATCTCTTGATGTTCGGGTTTTGTGCATGCGTTATTCAAGGAAATTTTGTGCTCATTTTTCACGAGTTGTCCATAGTTTGAATAGCTGTTTCTACATTTTGTACTTGGCCTTGAGTCTCCAAGATCCATTTCCACTATCTTGATGTTCTCTTCAAAATCCTACATCACACAATAATATGGTAAGACAATTCTTGAAACAATATCAGCAGATAGAATTCGTTAAAAGAAGCTGAAATCAACCCTTTTCTTCAATTTACATGATCAGATCTATAACCATAATGAATAACAGAACAACAGAAAATCGTTTGAGGGATTCGTACTTGATTTGAGAGCCTAAATCTACTCTCTTGTGTTGATTTTCTATGATTGAATTGCCTTTGATTGTTCAATTGTGTTGTCTCTTCAGCCATTCGGATTCTTTGGGCTCGTGCTCTTTCTTGAACAGTCACCAATGCCTGCATACACCTAAGTGTAGCAGTGGCCTGTTTTCTTACCAAATGCCCTCTAACCAATGCCTGCAACTTCACTAATCCTTTAAGTGCATTCAAAGCTTTTCTTGCCTGAAAAAGACATTGCGGATTAAGCCCTAATCGCCTCTTGCGAAAGCAAATAATTAGAATGTTGAATCCCTCGCAATGAGAAAGTTGAATTCATTTGTCGGTGCTGATTTTTAAACAAAAAAAAGAAAAAGAGAAAAAAAAGGAAAAGAAAAGAAAAGAAAAAAGTCGGGCCTTTCTCACGCCACTCACCCGCAAAACCGGGTTCACAAAATTCTTTATGTTGTAAGAAGTGTAGAGTCGACATGCAGTTGAGGAAAAAGTGTCGAGTTTGATTAGACTTCACAAAATCTAACACAGGAGCAGTATAGTAGGTCAATTCGCTGTAGATTGGAAAAGTATCGACTATAAAAAAGATTCCAAACAGCCCATCAGCAAGTATTGAGTACAAATTAGGCTTTGCAGAATCCAACAGAAGAACTCTAACGGATCAGTTCCTAAGCCAAAAAATAAAGTAAAATTAAATTAAATTAAATTAAAAATTCTATGGTGTACCATTCGATAGCAAGTAAATTGAGTATAGAATGTAGAGTTCAAGAATCACGTACCAAGTACCCACGAAAAACAGACTGAACCTTGATTGCAGCAGCCTCTTCAACAGCAGAGGCTCTCGCAGAGGCAACACTCGTTAGCTGGATCATCGCTGCAGCCGCAGCTGCCGCCGTGGCCACCGCTACAGCCAAGGCATGTTTTGCGGCATCACTTTCGAATTCCAATGCCGCTGCATGTGTAGACGTTGTGGTAGTAACACTCTTTCCAGAATTCAATTCCTGCTGTCCCGGTACGGCAGCGGCTGACGACCGACGAAAACTCCATCTCCTCTTCTCTTTTGGGGTCGTCGGCAGTATCGTAATCGGAGTTGTTGGAGGCTGCTGATTTCCAGTAGAAATCTGTGGATTTTTTGCATTGTCCTTCTCTTTTTCTTTATCTTTCTTTCCTGTCAAGAAATTCCTTATCCACTTGCTTGTCTTCCCCATTTCCTTTCACTGTTTCCTATACTTTCATGTAAGATTGGATCTGAAAAAAAGGATCAGAAAACGAACGGAAGCAACAAATGAGAAGGGATTTTCTTCAATTTCTTTCCTGTCATGTCTTTATCTATTTATCTTCTACACATGATCGGTAGCTTTCGAAATAATTAAGGTTTTTATTATTGGATCAGAACATTTTTCACTGTTTTATCAATTGCGTGTTTTTTACGCTGATATAGTTGAATATATGGAGTGATGGAGAGGAAAGAGCGAAGAAACTCCAAATTGAAACTCTTCTCATTTAATAAAAAAGGTTGAACCCCAACTTTAGGGCCTCCACCATCCCGCCCCTATAGTTTTATGAGAGAGGCGAATCGCGAGATGTGCCTCAGTAGGTCAGGAAACAAAAGTTGCCTGTACACTACGCCTACAAGGAGTCCAATTCCATGTTTTAGGAATCGAACCCCTACACTGTGGCTGCCAGCAAGACGTGAGATAATCTCACCTCACTCCTATCCTTTACACTACTAGGTTATGTCCCGGGGGGCAACTCTTCTCATAATTTATCTTCTACACATGATCGGTAGCTTTCGAAATAATTAAGGTTTTTATTATTGGATCAGAACGTTTTTCACTGTTTTATCAATTGCGTGTTTTTTACGCTGATATAGTTGAATATATGGAGTGATGGAGAGGAAAGTGCGAAGAAACTCCAAATTGAAACTCTTCTCATTTAATAAAAAAGGTTGAACCCCAACTTTAGGGCCTCCACCATCCCGCCCCTATAGTTTTGTGAGAGAGGTGAATCGCGGGATGTGCCTCAGTAGGTCAGGAAATAAAAGTTGCATGTACACTACGCCTACAAGGAGTCCAATTCCATGTTTCAGGAATCGAACCCCTACACTGCAGCTGCCAGCAAGACGTGAGATAATCTCACCTCACTCCTATCCTTTACACTACTAGGTTATGTCCCGGGGGGCAACTCTTCTCATTTAATATTGTTATTGATTCTTAAACTGTATGAGAAGGCTACCATATGTTTGGCTAAACTTGTTTGAAAGAAATTTTTTAAGTAAATTCTTGTTTTGAACCGTGTTTGGATGATTTACTGATTTATACTTAAAAGTGAAAAATTACTTATTTTGAGTTCTGAGATTTTTTAGTAAGGAATTGGGTGGTGAAAAAGATTGTACTGGTAACTATAAGGCTGCTGTTTGGATTATCAGGAGCCATGTGAAATTGGGTGGAGGAAGATGCCATATACTCGTAAAATAACTTTTTGTCAGGAAGGTAGGATCTTCGTCTATTAATAAATGGCGGGGCCTATTTTGGTCATGGGCTTACAGTGTTTTTTTTCCTTTTTTTTTGGTGATCTACAGACGTAATTAATTTTGAATCGTCCGTATTTTCTTATCTGTCAATTCTTTATTATGGTTACATCAAATTTCATCAATTGGTGAATAAAATTCCTCTGAAGTAGTTTTAAGCACGAAAGCTAATTTGTCCAATGACAACCATAAATAGGGCCAAATGGTCCCCTCTTGAGTACTCTGTATTTTGTATCAATTACAGCAATTATCAAAATAAGGTTCCTTTTAAGTTGATCTAATTTTACAACGTCATATTTAGTCATTAACATTTTGGTGCTAGCAGGAGGGCCTCCATAAGAAACAACTCACATCTTCCTTAAAACTCTCACCATAATCATAGCATCTTATACCACAAAATCACGAGTCACGGCTCAGCTTCTGGAAATCATTCTCGCACCAATCTCAATGAAACTAGTGTCCCCAGAATTTTTTAAAGATGGAATGAATTTATTGAGGATAGTCACCCCCGACTCACTGTCATGAGCTATAGCATGCTGATAAATTGAGTGAATATTTACTTAATTTGTGTAAATAATGTTAATAATAGGAAAATCCCAATTTGAACACAATTTATATGAAAAGAGTTTAATATTGTTATTGATTCTTAAACTGTATGAGAAGGCTACCATATGTTTGGCTAAACTTGTTTGAAAGAAATTTTTTAAGTAAATTCTTGTTTTGAACCGTGTTTGGATGATTTACTGATTTATACTTAAAAGTGAAAAATTACTTATTTTGAGTTCTGAGATTTTTTAGTAAGGAATTGGGTGGTGAAAAAGATTGTACTGGTAACTATAAGGCTGCTGTTTGGATTATCAGGAGCCATGTGAAATTGGGTGGAGGAAGATGCCATATACTCGTAAAATAACTTTTTGTCACGAAGGTAGGATCTTCGTCTATTAATAAATGGCGGGGCCTATTTTGGTCATGGGCTTACAGTGTTTTTTTTCCTTTTTTTTTGGTGATCTACAGACGTAATTAATTTTGAATCGTCCGTATTTTCTTATCTGTCAATTCTTTATTATGGTTACATCAAATTTCATCAATTGGTGAATAAAATTCCTCTGAAGTAGTTTTAAGCACGAAAGCTAATTTGTCCAATGACAACCATAAATAGGGCCAAATGGTCCCCTCTTGAGTACTCTGTATTTTGTATCAATTACAGCAATTATCAAAATAAGGTTCCTTTTAAGTTGATCTAGGAAGGTAGGATCTTCGTCTATTAATAAATGGCGGGGCCTATTTTGGTCATGGGCTTACAGTGTTTTTTTTTTTTTTTTTGGGTGATCTACAGACGTGATTAATTTTGAATCGTCCGTATTTTCTTATTTGTCAATTCTTTATTATGGTTACATCAAATTTTATCAATTGGTGAATAAAATTCCTCTGAAGTAGTTTTAAGCACGAAAGCTAATTTGTCCAATGATAACCAAAACCAAACGACTGCAATAGTACAAAATATAAAAAATACCAAAAATTGTTCACGTGGTTCGATCGAAACTACATCCCTAGAACTCTACAATTTATGGATCTTTGTTTGCATAGAGTCACCAAACAGCCTCAATGTATAAGAAGTTAACACAAATCTCTTGATCAAAGAGATTGTTGGACAAAGCCTCCCAACTTTCTCTCTATCTACTCTAATCCACAAACAGATTCACCACAAAAATGAAAACCCTAAGTTCAAAGAGAACAGACAGACAAAAACCAACAGCCCTAAACCAAATGCACTCTTGTCGTAACGATAGAAGAATGCACACATATATACATCCACCAATCTAGACCATCCAATTGAAGGGACGGGATTAAACCACTTGACTAAAGGTGCATTCGACATTGACACGGTGATCCTGTTTTCAAACGAGTAATCAGTGTCTTGTATCATCACATATATACCTGCAATTAAAAATTAAGTTAACCTTTCAAATCTAACATGGATAGGCAAGACAAGTTTTTCCGAAGGTAAAATCTTGATACCCACACTAACAGGATTAAACTGAGAAGGAATTTTCTCTAAGTTTATCAAAAATTATGATACAATATTCCTTATAATACGTAACTTTACATCAACATGCTTTGTACATTCATCGAATTTATGATTTTTATACAAATAAATAGCAGACTGACTATCAGAATATATAGTTACACCACCATGTGAAAAATCAATTCCTTTAACCGACCTTTTGACCACAATGCTTCTTTGATAGCTTCTGCAGTAACGGTGTATCAGATTCCATTGTAGATAAAGCCACTATGTTGCAACTGTGATTTGTAGCTCACACATCCATCATAGATATTAAATACATATGAAGTAACAGATTTCCTAGTATCCCTGTCACTAGCATAATCAGCATCAATATATCCTTTCAACTTTATTCTTTCACTACATTGTTTGAAAGTCAACCCTAAATCTAGAGTCCTTCTTAATTGTTTTAATGCCCATTTTAATGCTTCCCAATGTTTCTTTTTTGGATTAGATATACATCTACTCAAGACACCTATAGAATAAGCCAGATCAAATCCAGTGTATACAACCAGATTTAACAATATTAGCATATGGAACCTTTTCCATATATCGAAGTTCTTCATCTGTTTTAGATAAAGGTGTACTAGCGGATTCAGAACTAAACACACAAAATTTATTTTAGGTACTTCCAATATATATACAGTTTGGATTAATCTTAGTTCAAGCTTGGGTCTATTCCTAACTATTTTCATTCCTAAAATTCTTTTGGCACTTCCTAGATCTTTCATGTCTAAATCTAAAACAAAGCGCCTTTTATTTTATCAACTAACCTCCTACAAGGACTAACCAACAACATATCATCCATAAATAACATAAGAATCATCGATTTTAGATCTATAATATAGGTAATTATTGGAGGAATGCTCCAAAATTAACATTAGCTCAGCTCAGCTACAACTTATCTCATTAATTTGGTGCCAGTTGCATAGATACTAGTTAGTTACTTGTATAGATATAGTTAGTTATAATACAGCTGTATTAGCTAGTTAGATTTTCTTTTTCTTGTTTGTATTTATAGAGACAAATGTATCCATTTTATACTTGAGTTTTTCTAATAAGAAATAGCTTTAGCTTCAACATGGTATCAGAGCTTCTCTTTATGCTTCCCTCGTGCAATATCTAATGACAAGATTGATCAAACATTCTGATCAATAAATGGCTACAGAAGCTTTAGCTCAATCTATTCATAATTCTGCATCATCAATAAGCAGTTTCGAACTTGATGATGGATTGATTCCATACTTTCTTAACCATTCAGATAGTCCTGTTTTGGTGTTTATTTCATAGCTTTAACATGTCATGATAATAGCTCTATCCGTAAATAACAAATTAGGATTCGTTGACGGATCTATTGTATCACATGAGAATTCTGGTGATCTGCTCAACTCATGGATCCACAATAACAACATAGTGATCTCGTGATCTCTTAGATCGTCAATTACGTATCAAAAGAGATATCAACAAGTGTAATATACTCTGGATCAGCTCATGATATCTGGTCAACCTTAAGGAGAGATATCAGTAAAAGAATGAATCACGTATATTTCAATTGAGGCATGATATGATGAATCTAACATAGGGACAATCATCTGTTATTACCTATATCACCAAGCTAAAAATTGTTTGGGAAGAACTTAGTAACTATAGACCTTTATGTTCGTGTGGTAAATTTGTGTGTGGAGGAAATAAGAAGCTTGATGAACAACATCAAATGGAATACGTTATGTCACTCCTAATGAGATTACATGAGTCATTTGCTCAAATAAGAAGTCGGTTGTTACTGATGGACCCAATCCTTCCAATGAACAAGGTTTTTGCACT